CTTACAAATTAAATATTTAGTTAACAAGCTAAATATTTAACTTATGACTTAAATATTTAGTTAACAAGCTAAATTTTTAACTTGTGACTTAAATAATTAGTTTTGAGCTAAATACTGTATTTAGCTTGAAACTTAAATATTTAGCTAGCTACCTAAATATTTATGTTGCAACTTAAACATTTAGCTAGCAAGTTAAATATTTAGCTAGCCACCTAAATACAGTATTTAAGTTAAATATTTAAGTATTTAAGTTGCAACCTAAATATTGAGGTAGCTAGCTAAATATTTAAGTTTCAAGCTAAATACAGTATTTAGCTCAAAACTAATTATTTAAGTCACAAGTTAAATATTTAGCTTGTTAACTAAATATTTAATTTGTAAGTTCAATATTTAGTTTATAAACTATGACATTTATAAATATATGAATCATATGGTGAAAAACTGACTTTGAAAAATATATCTGTTCTTTTTTTCTTATAAAAGGCTAAATAAAACAAACATATTGCTGGTAATTTTGTGTAACTTTACAAACGGCACCCCACAGACTTTCTTTGTGCCAGCACCATTAGTGAGTCAGCCAGATACTGGTTAGTGATACATGACTCCATAATAATCTGAGTGATGACTCGCTTTTTTAATTTTAATCCTCATGCTGCCCTTTGATTAAAATGACCCACAAATGTTTGTGTTATTACAATGTTATTAAATTATTTATGGCCTGAGTATTGTCTTAGTTTGAAACTTGTGCARTCACTGTGCGGCTGCTGCGGTTTCTGAAATGATGACTGTGCAATAAAAAACATACCTGTCATTTATGCTGACATTAATTCAGTCGTACTTCATAAATAGTGCCTGGAGAACTCGAAATAAACAACTGTGACGTTTGGGAGTTTATTAAAAATATGCATGTAAATAAAGCTGCTGTAAAAACAAAATGCATCTTAAAACCTTCAATCTCCCTCCGGAGGAGTCAGAACAAGAAACACCATCAGAACTGCTGCTTGTTGTTTTTCTATCTCAGTTTGATGTGACAATTCTGTAAGATTTCTTCTTTTTCATCTTGTTTGWCGTCTCTAATGTATGATTGATGATTAATCAGTTTTCTGCTTCRAACCTGCTGGTAAATTAAACATCAGCAACTCTGAGAAAAAACACGAAATCAGTCAGGTTTTGGCAAACTACATC